TATCTACTTTTTCAAAAAAATACCTTTACCCTCGTGAAGAGTTTATTTCAGGGATGGCTGTGAGTGTTTCTACATCGTGAAAAATATGAAATTGAAGAGTGAACATTTGGTAAGATTTTTTTAAATATCTAGAAGTTTAGCTTTAAAAATAGAAGATGATATCACTTTCAGTAACTGGTTTGTAATATCAGATGAGAGTGATTTCTTTCTACTTCTAGTCTAGTAGTTTTTGGCACCTATATACTAGGAGTAAAAATATTCTCAATTGAAATATATTCTTACTCTTTAATGTTCTAGGAATTAGGGTGTCCGTTTCAAGGAGAAAGAGGTTAAAGCATTTGGGGAGTATTTCCGTTTTCATTTTGATACTGGGCAGTTTCACATTTCTATAGCTGGAAAGGCCTTTGTGTTTTAAACCAACCGGAACAATTTGTAAAGTTCATTTAGGGAAAAATCTACAGATGTAAAGAAACACCCGTTATTAAATTACGCTTTATCACTGGGCCCAAAACTCACCCTCTATAATTACTTGTGAAAGTCTGTATTTATGACAGTAATTTACAATACTTCTAGTTTAGGCACAACAATACAACCGTACTTGACACCATAAATTTGCAGGGCTCCTATGTTCCGACCTTTAGAAATTATCGCTGGGTAAGGAGTTATTCTTGGTACAAGGTGAGAGGCTGGCCTTCCCTTGCCCGGTTCTGAATCCCCAACAGCCTTGGATGTTGTCTGGGTGTCTGCTTACCTGGCACCCCTTAGCAGGACGTTATGCGTTGCTCAGGTGTGTGGGCACCACGGGTGTGTCCCACTCACTGCTTCCTTCAATGGCTTCCGTCTCCCCTTTGAGTACAGTATAAACAGTGCTGAACTCAGCTGGTTGGAATGTTCTGAATTTGTAGATTTGATTCCTGTGACATCCGGTTAGATTTTCTCACTTTTTGGCCATAGCCTGCCCACCCCTTTGGAGAGGCTGATCAGCCCAGAAATCTTCAGAGAGAAAGTGTGGCTGAATCAGCACAACCCGCCACACTCTTGGAGAAGTCACCAGAAGCTCTTGCTGCCCTGGGGATGTCACCGTGGCAGGTGCAAAGGGTAGCACAAGAAAATATGAAAGAGGCCTCGTGCAGTCTAGGGGTTCACAATTGGTAAACAAGCTGTCAATCATAGAGGATTCTACCGTGGCCCGTTCTGCAGATCCGGAAAATAGCTTCAAAAGTTAAATTTTGTATTGTCTGATTTAGAGTCCTGCCGTCCAATATCCAGTTGATTGGGACAGTATGTCCTTTACCATCTTGAAAAAAATACTACATTTTCAAAATGGTAGATATGACAGATTAGCCAGAACATCATTTCTTAGTTCCCTTTTGGCTAAACTTCTGCCCTTTGAATCACTTTCTTCTGGTGTCTAAAGCATTCTGTGGAAGACTAAGCTTGGTAATAGAGCTCGAAGCATTTTCCCCAAATGTCTTCGGTGTTTGCAGCTCATCCAGAGTGGGGAAAAGTTACCTTTTAAAGTGGGAAGGTATTTTTAGGTTCACACATTTCTTTTAAAAATATCACAATCAGAGCTTTTTAGCTGTATTTACATACCTTTTTGTTTCCTAGAAGAACCAGTTGTTCCTTGCTTTCACCCAACAACCCACCATCCCCTGTATTGCTATGACACTGTGTATCATATTTCTTGCACTTTTTCATTGTGGTAAAATATACATAACATAAAATTTACTATTTTAACCTTTTTTTAGGGACACGATATAGTGGCTTTAAGTATTTTCACAATGTTGTGTGGCCATCACCACTTTCCATTTTCAGAACTTTTTCATCATCCCTAACTGAAACTCAGTACCCATTAGACAGTAAGTCCCCCTTACCCCCTGCCCTAGCCCCTGGTAATACCATTTGACTTTCTGTCACTATGAGTTTGCCTATTCTAGGTACGTTATATAAGTGGAATCATAGAATATTTGTCCTTTTGTGTCTGCCTTACTTCACTTAGCGTGATTCATCCACATTGTAGCATGTGTGAGAATTTCATTCCTTTTTGAGGCTGAATAATATTCCACTATATGAATGGACCACATGTTGTTTATCCATTCATCCATCTTTTTTTTTTTGGCGGTACGCGGGCCTCTCACTGTTGTGGTCTCTCCCGTTGCGGAGCACAGGCTCCGGACGCGCAGGCTCAGTGGCCATGGCTCATGGGCCTAGCCATTCCGCGGCATGTGGGATCCTCCCGGACCGGGGCATGAACCCATGTCCCCTGCATCGGCAGGCGGACTCTCAACCACTGCACCACCAGGGAAGCCCCCTTCATCCATCTTTGATGGACACTTGGTTGCTTCCACTCTTTGGCTCTTGTGGATAATGCTGCTATGAACATTTGTGTTCCATGTGTGCAGATTTGCTGCTTAGCAAATTCTGCCTGGTTGTGTTTGCTTTCCCCCTTGCACATGCGTCTTATTTCCCCAACTTGGTAATAAATTCCACAAGTTAGGGGCCAGTCTTATACATCCTGGTATTTTCCACCCTTTATTCTGTTTTCCTCAGTGTCTTGCAGGTTACAGCAGTACAAGTACTTGATGCTGACAATAATAGATAATGAAAGCTAAAGAAATAAGAAAACTGTTTAGAGGAGCACAGTATTGAAAACATTATTTTATGTCCATATTTTCCCCAGGAGAGTATTTGACTTGTTTTCCCAAGCTCCGCTGAGCAGGGGCCAAGATCCAATTGTGTGTTGAGTTCAGTGCTGAGTTAGCATACTGTCACCGTCCGCTTATTGTCAAGTGTTTAACGATAGCGTAACACCAAGAGGTAGGCGTGGGGTCCTGAGTCAGGAAAATGTAGGCAGGTCTAGCTGATTAGAATATGAAGATATGGAAGCTTTTTTGTTGCTGTTTTTCTCGTTGGGATCAAGGACAAATACCACATTAACCCAGGGGGTGAAAACTGGGATTCCAGTCCTAGGAAGTTGCAGGAGAGGATATGTCAAATTTCTCTTGCAAAAATAGGTGTTTTGTGCATATCCCAGAGTTGTTACAGAAAGCAGAAATGGCTTCATGTGTGTGGGCTGCAACTGATCCCCACATGGACACTTGATATTTTGTACTGGAAAAAGAAGCAGTGTACATAAAATGCAAATTTGGGACAACTATGAATTTGTATCAGATTTGTAATTGAAAGTTTCACGGATATAGTTTAAGAATTTCTTAAAGTATTTATTTATGCCTAAGACATATTTATTGCTTTGTGAAGAATCAAAGTTTTGTTTTTCAATTATAATTAAGGTACATCCCATATTAGAACAATGCTCATAAATGGGTCTTTGTTTAAGGCTTTTTATTTACTTTTAAAAATAAATTAATTTTCTTTATTTCTGGCTGCGTTGGGTCTTTGTTGCTGCACGCGGGCTTTCTCTGGTTGCGGTGAGCGGGGGCTACTCTTCATTGCGGTGCGCAGGCTTCTCATTGCGGAGGCTTCTCTTGTTGCGGAGCACGGGCTCTAGGCACGCAGGCTTCAGTAGTTGTGGTTCACGGGCTCCAGAGCGCAGGCTCAATGGTTGTGGAGCACGGGCTTAGTTGTTCCACAGCGCGTGGGATCTTCCTGGACCAGGGATCGAACTCATGTCCCCTGCATTGGCAGGTGGATTCTTAACCACTGCACCACCAGGGAAGTCCCTGTTTAAGCGTTTTAAAATAAACAACAACAAATAGGAGGAGATGGATTTTAGAAGCTGCTTTGATGAAATTTCACCAGCTGGCTATCTACACATAATCAGGTGTGCCCACTGAGAAGGCGACAATGAGGCTATTCAGGCAGGGCAGTGGATAAAAATCCACTCGCATAAAGCTTGTTAATAAAGAATATGTTTCTTTATTATTAAGATCTCTTAGAGCCTACTTCTGCAAGCAGACCAATACCAATCTTACTTATTTACTTCTTCCTTCCTTCCTTCCTTTCTGCCTGTTTAGCACCGTAATACTAGCCCTTGTGGGGGGCTGATGTCTTAAGTCAAAATGTTAAATTTGCAACTGGTTTACTTCATGGCAAATCTCTGCTTTATTTGGGAAGCTTTTTGTTTTGTTTTGTTTCTCTCTTCTTTTAATATAGTTCAGGAAGGTATCTTGAAGTTCTCTCCATGAACTTTACTAATGAAACAGTTCATGAAAACCTGTCTGCTTCTTGCAGCCCAGGTCCTGGAGTTATGGACGCACGGCTTCACTGGTGGATCTTGCTCCCTGGCAGTTTCAGAAGCCTTCTCCAGCCATTTCCTTCTTTCTCTCTGTAGCCTGTCCCACATCCAGATTTCACAGCTGGTTTTGCTTACCCTCTAGTGTGGGTTATAGGCAACCAAGTCTGCCAGGACCTTGAGTGGGCTTTTAAGAAAAATTTCAATGTATAGAGGCTGCCTGTATCACTTTGGCAATCATATCGACTAGTTATTGTACATGGTATCCTGATGAAACATACTGACGACTAGTTCACAGAACATTTGACACAAAATCTGCCTATGGGAAAATGGATTTAAAATATTAAAATTTCCCATGGGTATATGCATCGTGCACCGGCTGTTAATGTCCTTGAATGACACCGGCCACCTCATTTGCAGAAGAGGGACCGGAAGACAAGCCTGGGTTCATTTTCCTGTTCTTCCCTGGATGGTGTTTATCCCCAGCCTGGCCCCTATTTAGATTGTTAGCGCTAGACAGCCACATCTGTGGTTGTAGGTATCGTGTTTCCGTTCTGTGTTGAAGGCAAGCTTCCCTGCACACACCATTCTGAGAAATCACTCCGATTTCTAGATCTTTATTTCCAGGTATTTTTTTCCCATTTGCCAGTGACACACTGGATATTTTTAAGGCTTGCAGTATGTTATAACCCACAAGGAAGCAGTTCCCCTTGCAGAAAGCCCATGTAGGGCCCTCTCCTGAGCACATCTGTTCCTCTTTACACACACCAGGAAAGGATTAACCCAGCTGTTCTCTGCTTTTCAGATTTGACTGAAGAACGACTCGGGGACAGCAGCACAGCAGACACCACTGAGACCTTCAGTGACAAAGACACGGACCAGAGGAGCTCCCCGGACGTGGCCAAAAGTAAGGGCTGCTTCACGCCAGAGAGCCCCGAGATAGTGTCGGTGGACGAAGGGGGGTATGCGGTCCAGAAGAACGGAGGCAGCTCCGAGAGCCGACCCGACAGCCCCAAGTACCCCGGGGAGCAGAATCACCTCCTGATCGAGGGCCCCTCGGGGACCGTGTCTCTGCCCTTCAGCTTGAAAGCCAACAGACCGCCCCTGGAAGTGTTAAAAAAAATATTCCCCAATCAGAAGCCCACGGTGCTGGAGCTGATCCTGAAGGGCTGCGGGGGCGACCTGGTGAGTGCCGTGGAGGTCCTGCTCTCCAGCCGCACCTCCAGCTTGGCCGCGGACCGAACTGCGGCAGAGCCCGAGGGCCTGGTGCTGCCCTCCAGCGGGCACATCTTTGAACACACCTTGAGCTCCTACCCCATCTCCTCCTCCAAATGGTCCGTGGGCTCGGCCTTCAGAGTCCCAGACACGTTGAGGTTTTCCGCCGACTCCAGTAACGTGGTCCCCAACCCCCTGGCCGTGCCCCTGCAGCACCCGTTCCCCCAGCCCCCCCGGTACCCTCTGATGCTGAGGAATACTTTGGCGAGAAACCAGTCGAGCCCCTTTCTTCCCAACGATGTCACCCTGTGGAACACCATGACGTTGCAGCAACAGTACCAGCTGAGGTCCCAGTACGTCAGCCCTTTCCCCACTAACTCTACCAGCGTCTTCAGAAGCTCACCTGTCCTCCCCGCCCGCGTCCCCGAAGACCCTCGGATACCCATCCCTGACGATGGGTGTCCCATCGTGTCAAAGCAGTCCATTTACGCCGAGGACGACTATGACGAGAGGTCTGACTCCTCAGACTCTAGAATACTCAACACTTCATCTTAAAGTGCTACCCGATGGGTGGTGACCAGGTGACATTGTCTGTGCATTTGAACCCTGGCCCCCCCTTGAGGAGAGGCCACATCCTGTGTATACCTTTTCCTTCTGTTTCACAGAGTGACTGTGCTTGATTCTATACCTTAGCAATAAAAGCATAACTTATTTAATTTCTTGCACTTCACTGGAAAATGCCAAATAGCTCTGCTCTGTGGCTTTAGTGCTGAATGTTCGTTGTAAAAGAGAATAGTCTTGGGAAAGCCTTGGGCCCATGGAAGATTTATTTGGGGATGTAGAGCTGAAGGTCAGCCTTGCCCCTAAACTCAGCCTGGAATGTTCAATAAAATAGTATACTTGAATGAAATTTTTTTTTTTTTTTTTTGCGGTACGCGGGCCTCTCACTGTTGTGGCCTCTCCCGCTGCGGAGCACAGGCTGTGGACGCGCAGGCTCAGCGGCCATGGCTCACGGGCCCAGCCGCTCCGCGGCATGTGGGATCTTCCCGGACCGGGTCACAAACCCGCGTCCCCTGCATCGGCAGGCGGACTCTCAACCACTGCGCCACCAGGGAAACCCCTTGAATGAAATTTTGTAAAAGAGGATTCCTTAGGATATGTGAAAGCTAAAGGCAGTGGTTCGGTTGCAAACGGACTATAAACAGGGACCTTATACTCCTATGCTAAAAATCCTTGCATTTTAAAGAGAGACTGCACTTAATAGAGTGAACCGCTCACATGCTTATTTAAGCTTGGACAGTTTTCAGAGACAAACTCCATTAAGAATTATTCTTTTCACATGGCTGAATCGAAACGTGTAATGTCAATGTCAGTGTAAAGCCAATCCCAGCTGTGAACTGCATGAAATGTATTGTGAAATGAACACAAGATTAAGCTTTGTCAGGTTAATGTAGCATGCTAAGGACTCTAGAAAAAAAATAAACTAAGGAGATGATCTTGGTTTATGTCATTTCTACTTGTGGAAAGAGGATCTCTAAAAATAGAAACTTGATATAAAAGCTACTTACCAGTGCATGGATCAAGGCTTCAGTTAAATGCGATGTCCCTTGAGAAATATGAATGGCAAAGTTTGGGGGCTGCGTTCAGAAAGACAGAATTTATTTTTCAAGAATAGACTTAATTCAGTCCCTCCATCCGTTTATTTGTTTCTTCAACAGATAATTATTGAGTGCCTATTACGTGTAAGAGGATGCTCTTTGTATGTTATTGTCCGAGTTACCTGCCCGTTGAGTCCAAGACAGCAGGGATTATATGATGGAGAATCTCATTAAAAACAAAGTAAAAATGAAAACATCTACAATGTGGAAAGTAAGCAAAGTGCATAGCACGGTACCTGACGCAGAGAAAGTACTCCATCCGTGAGAGCAGTTACTCCTGTTAAGTTCAGTATATACTTCTATTTGCATTCAGGATGAAGAAGTGGATTCCCTCATTCTCACTTGGAGAAGATGCCATTCTGGCTTTGGGGGATGACCACAGCGAAACTTCAGGGCTTTTCCCCTTCATTTAAAAAGCATTTTGGGAGGGCTACCGTATGTGGCAAACTTCTTGCTCAGGTATTTTTAAAAGTGAGTTTTCGAACAATCATGTGCCGTGGTGCTCACACCAACCACTTCTTACTCCTTTCTTCAGAATGCTGGAGAGGAAAGATGACTGCCCAGGTCAGACAATAAACTTATGAATGTGGAAGGGAAAGAAAGTAAGTGAAACCCTCTGCATGACAAGGATGCAGAGAGAGCTCCCAGCACAAGAATAGGTCTTGAAGGGACCTTCATCCTGGGAGGAAGAAGGGCAAATCCTCTCGGCCTGAGATGCTCCTCCCTCAGTGGGAACAGGAGCTGATGTCAGCTGCCTACCACCCTTGCATGGGTCCCAGGAGGAAAACATATTTCAAACAAACAAACAAACAAAATCTCATTTTTATTTCTACTGGGCACCTTTGGAATGAGAAATCATTGAGGGGAAAAATTCCTTATATTAGTTGGACTAATGTGTATTTAGTTGACATGGTTACATACCAGAGTGTTTAAAAGTAAATATGATTTGTTGTTAAGGTTATATTTTAGTGAGGGGCTGGAGAGGAGAATAATGTGACCCCTAACTCTACAAATACATGTGCAGGACATTTTATATGGTAGTGATGGGCTAATGTCTGGGCCTACCTAGCAAAAATGTATTTTCAAAGGTATCTTCAAAAGTTTATATTTATCTAAGAAGCAACAATGATAACAGATTCTATATGAGATGACAGTGCTATAAAATCTGTCATATCTTCAGGTTGAGTGACCTGGATTGAGCAAAACGGCTTAAGACATGGTATCCTGACAGTTTGATTTTGCCCACAGATCATCAAAGTCCTTGCCCTCTTTTCCCAATGGCCAGCAAAATGGAACTGCCTATAAGACAGCTTATTTCTGGGCTACTACAGGTATGTTTGATCCTCAGTGTACTTCTGAAGCAAGATATGTTTGTTTCGGTGCGGTAAGTGTGGTACGGGGTCGGAGGGAAAAATTGTTCGTTAAGATCCTATGTCCTGCTTCCTGCATTCAGCTTTGCTTCCTCTGCAGTCCTGACAGCTGAGGCCCCTCTGGTTAAAGTGGCAAAACCTCTTAGATTCTAGCTCAGCTCTCAAAGACCATCCTGCTACGGTTGGCATGTAAGAATTCAAGGGAAATGAACACTCCTCTGCCCATGGGCACTCAGTCACTCTTTCACAGGAAACTCAACACCTGGATGAAATGAGGAAAACAACATCAACCAGTTCCTAGTTAAATCCCATCTGTCACACAGAATATCTGGGTCCTTGGCTGTACGCTTGCGGTTGAGTCAGGCCAGGCTTATAGAGAGTTAATTCCTATTAACCCACAGTGCCCCTTTCCCCCTGCTAGTCTTATAGTAAATGCTTTGTTCATCTTTGATGTGATGGCGGGTGGGCTACTCGTGTTGTCCTGCAGCAGTTTGTCTCAAAGTGTGGTCCAGGCACCTGATTGTCTCTAGTTTAGATTCCTGGGCCCCACTTGTTGAGTGCAGAATCCCTGTAGCCTAAGGTCCTACATTTTTACCATCCTCTCCAGGTAATTCTTTTTTATTTATTTATTTATTTATTTTTGGCTGCGTTGGGTCTTTGTTGCTGCGTGCGGTCTTTCTCTAGTTGTGGCGAGCGGGGGCTACTCTCATTGCGGTGCGCGGGCTTCTCATTGCAGTGGCTTCTCTTGTTGCAGAGCACGGGCTCTAGGCGCGTGGGCTTCAGTAGTTGTGGCACACGGGCTCGGTAGTTGTGGTGCACGGGCTTAGTTGCTCCACGGCATGTGGGATCTTCCTGGACCAGGGCTCGAACCCGTGTCCCCTGCATTGGCAGGTGGATTCTTAACCACTGCGCCACCGGGGAAGTCCCTCCACGTAATTCTTAAACTCACTAAGATTTGAGATCTGCCTCACTCTGCATCACATCCTTAGGTTTCCTTCTTAGATCTATGCCAAGTAAAAGAGCTGAGGGATACAAACCGTGATGCTGGGGATTTCAAGATCCCCATTCCACTCACATCTGCTTTCCTACGGCAAGAGTAAAGTTCACTGTGTACGCAGTCTTAATTCACGCCCTAGAGCCAGTTCAAATAATGGTAGTGTCAGTGTTAATGATTAGATCGGGTACACGTTTGGGATCAGAAATGCCTGTTTCTGGAAACTTGGGTTTGGTAAAGGACCAGATATTAGCATAAACGTGCTATCCTTTCCCCTAAGGGGACTGCTGCCAGTTTTTCAGTTGTTCCGTGATTCCTGGCTTACTCGTGATACCTGGAAATAGGTTTTGCCCTGGAGCTTTGGGTTCTAAGAAATATCAACAAACCTTCCCCTTTCTCCAGCTTTATTGAGATATAATTGACATGTAGCATTGTTAAAGATGTATAATGTGATGATTTGATACGTGTATATGTTGCAAAATGATTTCCATAATAAGGTTAGTTAACACATCTATCACCTCACATAATTACTTCTTTTTGTGGTTTAAATCTGTTCTCTCAGCAACTTTCAAGTATACAATACGGTATTGTTAACCATAATCACCATACATTAGATCCCCAGGACTTATTCATCTTGTAATTGGAAGTTTGTACACTTTGACCAACATCTCCTCATTTCCCCCACCCTTTAGCCCCTGGCAACCACCAGTCTACTCTCTGTTTCTGTGAGTCTGGCTTTTTTAGATTCCACATATAAGTGAGGTCATATAGTACTTGTCTTTTTGTGGCTGGCTTATTTCACTTAGGATGTAACATTTTCTTTATCTGTTTACGCATCGATGGACACTTAGGTTGTTTCCGTATGTTGTGAATAATGCTGCAATGTACATGGAGTGCAGATATCTCTTTGAGATAGTATTTTCATTTTCTTCGGATATATTCCCAGAATTGGAATTGTTGGATCATATGGTAGTTCTATTTTTAGGTTTTTGAGGAACCTCCATACTGTTCTCCATAGTGGCCGCCCCAATTTACATTTCCAACAGCAGTGCAAGAGGGTTCCCTTTTCTCCACACCCTCTCCAGCACTTACCTCTTGTCTTTTTGGTAATAGCCATTCTAACAGGTGTGAGGCGACATCTCACTGTGAAATATCAACAGTTTTCTTTTCTGTTTCTTGTTTTTATTTTTGGTTTTGTTTTGTCCTTTTTAGATCACTTGATTTTATTCTGCTGTCCATGTTTAACATTAGCTGTTTGGTGATAATATAATCTGAGTATAAAGCAGTAAGTTTTTCAAAAGTGATGTTGCTCTTAACTGAATTTTAGTGAATAAGAGTGAGTTTAAAATAGACTTACAAACATGCCAGTCCTGCAGAAGAAAAAAATTAACATAGTAATTTGCTGTATACTTCCATAATTCCATAGTGGAATCTCCAGAAATAATATGTAGAAACAGAAGTTAATTGTAAGTGAATTTCAGTTGCTGGCTCCCAAATGTGTTTTAAAGTTGCTATATAACATCTGGGCTAGATTGCAGGAAATACACAGTGAAAAGTAGAAGCATTTCTATTATATCTGTATTATCTCAACACTCTTGATGATGGGAAAACCAGAAGTAGTTTCACAAACGTCTTGAGAAGCAAGGCATTTGTTAGCCAGGTGTATGGCTGTCGTTGA